CTTTACACAATATTTGTATTCTCTGTCACAATAATAATCCATATCTGCTATAAATACAGTCCAACTTCTTCAATTCGACATCCTAAAGGAAATGTTGAATTTAGTTGGAAAAGTAAGCTTCTCTGATTGGAATTTGAAAAGGGTTGAATTAAAATAGGTGATGAATTTTAGTTGGTTGAAATAAAGAGGTTATACTGTTTATGTGTATTATGATATCATTATAGAAATAAATCGAAAACTAATTTGAAGAATTGAAAAGTTTTATGCAACTTTTAGAACATGAAATGTTTATCATATTCAGGAAGCTAGCTTTCAAGCTGAAACTCTTTCACAGGCCTTAAACTCTACATAATGACTAATGGTCTAGTTTTTTTTATCCTCCTGCTTTCTAAGGGAGATCTAAGTGACACAGTTCATCTCTTTTCTATCACTCCTCTCCAAACATTGTGTTGTAATGCAGAAGTGGTGCCATTAAAGAGCGTGAAGCAAAGTTGTGGATATCATGTTTTAAATGTGGACAGAAAGTTCTTGAAATGTAGAAGTAGTCTCTGGCTGTGAGGTGGTTTCCACACCTAAACTATCCAACCAGCAAATGACATGTTTCATTGAAACAAGTATTTGATCCAACTTAAAGCCAAGTTACTAAAATAATTAATATTTGCTCTGTTTTTAAATGACAAATTAAACAATTTTATTGATTCTTTCAATCAAATTTTACAAAGGAGAAAATATATGCTCTGTTTAAAGAAATAAATAATTTTAATAATTTGGTGCAGACATGCTTGAATGTGACATCACATGAGCTAATAGTCTAGTATTTATATCTAGATGGTATATTTTGGGATACAGGCTCCAAATAATAGTCAGGTGATCAAAGAGGAACTGCACAATTTACAGCAGTCCTCTAACCCCTCATCAGAGTTGTCAGACTGACCGACCGGTGGGTAAATATTGCCGTTTCTTTGTTCCCTCTCCTTTCTTCTGCTTTTAAATTAGTTGTGTCCGCATTCCAATCTTCTCAAATCTCCCTTTGTCTATGTCGACAGGTGGCTGAAATTTATTGTAAATTGTTTCTTTCTCTTCTCTGGGGCCAACTACTGTGTGTGGCTGGTGTTAATTGGGAAGTTTGTCTCTCTTCCTCCAACAGATTTGCATATCTGGACAATGTATTGAGCTCTTGGTATCACATGGTTCTTTATCAGCATAGTGTACATACAACTCTCATTCCAACAAATTTGCATATCTGAGCCAATACATATTTGCTTTACCGTATATTGGACTCTTGGTGTTCCATTTTTTTTATCAGAGAAACATGGTGGGTTTCTTATCCATCAAATTGTCTTTTCTCTTTACAATATCAAGCTCTGTTTAACAGGTTCACCTATCTAGTCAATAAATTGAGCTTGCTCCAAACCATTTGTAAGGCTACCCAATGCATCCCAGCAGCTTCTCTCTTGTGAAATATACTGCCGTCTTTAAAAATATATTTGCATAACTGTGAACAACAATATACAGTGTCATTAGAACAGCCACTTATGTAACAGCCCAACATATGGTTATAAATATATAAAATCCCCCCTCCCTCAGGGTCCCAAGTATAATTGTTATAGGGAGGTTAGACTAGTGGGTTTTTTTCTAATAGATTTACAAGTTGTTGGAAAATTTAACCTTGAGATTCCTCAAAAGCTTCAGGTTTCACCACCTTCACTCCACTTATCAATGAATGAATGTAATATTAGACCCCCCAGTTATTGGAAACTTCAAGTGTTTGAGTTACTCCTTTCTTTCTTCCTTTTATTATAGTGTGAGTGTGCAAATAGACCTGCCACACATGTGGCAGAAGAGGTATGTAAACTGATTCTCTTGTCTTTTCATCTTTGAAAGGAAATTAGTATTTAGGATTTTTGAAAAAATATAAATTGTTGTTGTTCCTTATCCCCTTGTGTAAAGATTACTTGAATTCCATGAGTTCATGTTTCTCGAGCTAAAATATAAATTAGAGCAAGTTAAATGAGTGAGGTTTATACTATGTACATGTGTGTGGAATGTAAACTCTCCTCAAAATTCTTATTTAATGTAGGATGCTGGTACTAGCCGACCAAATCCTAACATACTCGGTCCTTGAGTAATCTGCCCACACACTTACTCAGGACACTTGCAAGAATTTCAAGGTTCTTAATCTCTCTACGCTTCTCACATTCTTGAAACTTAACACTTTGCCTGGTGGTGATGCCTCTGTACCACACGATAGGGCCAAACTTTTGGTTCTCACTGGCTTTTTATTTCCAAAATTTATAGATGATATAGAGAAAGGACACACAAGGCTGGCTACCTCCTAATAATGGTCAATTTGTTTTAATTCCATATATTTGAACTATTTCTTTACTTTAATGATGAATATCAAAATACCACAAAAAATTATCTTGTGAAAAAAGTCTTTTGATGATGGTTCATCTCATCATATACGTATCTTTATTTCTAATTTAAAAATCAAGACAAATCCTAGGGGCAAAGCTTTATTAATTATATATTAAAATTTTTATAAAATTATTATTAATTTTTTTTTATTTATTACAACACTACAATACAAAGCTTAGTTGAAAAAAAATAAGGCCTCCAACACTTTGTTGTTTGAAAGCACACTTCAAGCATTGTCCCTTCCTTTCACACAAGGTTAATAAAGTATTTTCTTCCATAATTTCCAGTTTCCACATATACTTTTGAAATCTAGATTTCATTTTTTTTAAACCTGTCATGCAAACCTTCATGGCATTATAAATAATAATAATAATAATAAAAAAAAAAACTTTATTGAATCATAACCCATTTATTTGGAAGTTTTTATTTTTTGCCTAGGTTAAACTAGTTGATATAAAATACTTCAGAGAGAGAAAAAGGATACTAACACGTACAATCCCAGCAAAAGTTGAGGTTGATTCCTCTTTCTATAATTTTTAATACATCTTTCTGTTTTTATCTCTTAAATTTTACATTTTCTTATTTTAACATGTTCTGAATTTTTTTTTTTTTTTGAAAAGTCTGTGTTGTTTCACACTTTGGTAATAGCTTTTTTTCCCTAGTGGAAGCTTGTTAAGAATTCTTTTTCGTAGCTTTTTTCTTCATTTTGGAAGACATTTGAATTTTAAAAAATTTCAAATTTGAATGCAAAGATGTTCTATTAATAAAAATATAATTTAAAAATGTATATAACACGTGCAGCAAAAGTAGAACTAGATGTAAACAAACAATGGCACTAAATTCATTGTTTTGAAATCACAATCTGTGAACTGAAACATGCTCAAAATTTTTCTGCTTTAAAAAAATCTATTAATTGAAATTTTAGGTTTATTATAAGCCTAGTAATTTGATTGGATTTATCATTTTGGAACTTAGAATTAGGTTTGTTATAGAGGTAGTTTTTTTATATCAAATTTCTTTAATTAATGGTATTTTAATGGGTTTGTTAAAAGGGAAGGTTCACTATATCCTGGGTTTGATGTAGCCGGGTTTTATTGTAGTTAAATTAATTTATGGATGAGTCATCATCATCATCATCATGTAATGCCGTATATGGAGGTCAGCCATCATGGAACCCAGACCATTCTATTATCAATCTAACCCTCAGTCTTCAAGCATCATTTCCTGGTGATTATATTTAGAGGCCTGGGGAATATATATCTTTGAATACCTTTTTTTTTTATCAAACCGGCTTCTTGCCCTATATTTTAACTATAGTGAAACCTCATTATGACATCAGAGGTTCACAGTTTTAACTAACAATTGTTTTAACCTTGGTTATAACCATACTCCCAAGTGATGTTGCGCTATAGTGAGGTTCAACTGTAACTTTTTCACAACTACTTCTTTGTTGAATTGAGAACCCTGAAGTTGAATGTGGGGTTGTGTGATGGAAACCACTTTTTGAAACTGCCTAAGTCAGAAGATAGATCTCTGCATAGTGTTTTTTTTTTTTTTAAGTTTCAAAATTTACTACCGTAGAACCTCTGTGAAAGGACACTCTCCCTAGAGGACACCTCTCTACAAAGGAATGTTTTCATCTGAAAAATTACCATTTTTACTATTCAGCAACTCTCTGGTAAGAGGACACCTCTCTCTAAAGGACACTTTGGTTCTGCAATTAGGTGTTGTCCTTTACAGGGAGGTTTTACTGTATAACAAAACTTTCATCAATGTTGGATCCTAATTTAGTACACATAGGAAGTGTTTCCAATATCTATCACAGTAAGAAAAAATACTGAAAATAGCAAACAGCAGGAAATAATCAAGAATGGTGTAGCTCAG